CAGCCTGGCTGTGCTTGAAAACCGCGCAGAGGGGGTTAGCCCAACACCACCGCCTGCACCATCGCCATTCTGGGAGTGACGGGGATTGGGGAGGCCTGGCTGCTTGTAGTTTTGAAAAGCATGGGGTGAGTTCTATGTGCAGCCAGGGCTGAGGACCATGATTCTATATGAAGGACCATGAAGACTAACTATATGTATGATTCATAGCTCCCAGTACAAAGGAAAACTGTGAAGCTTCTTGTTCAAAAAATCATTAAGAGCTTCACGACAGCCACAGCAGAACACTGGACCAAGTGGGGGACCCTTCTGAGCCCCACCCTGTGTTACTGTCCTGGGTGCACATGTGTGAAGCCAGCCCAGTCTCTGCCCATCATTTCCTCAGCAACATGCTTACAAGGACCCACAGCTGACTTCTCACCCTTGGCACTCACCTGAGCAGAATCACGGACTGGCTCACAGGGCAGCTGGCGCTCTGCCCTGTGTGTCCTCAGAACAAGTGAAGTCATCTCCAAGCACAAGGCAAGTGGGGAAGAGCTGGGCTCTGTGGACACCTGCTCTCCTCAAAATGACCTGATGCTTCCTCAAGCCCTGTGTGTGCTGGCATCTGGCTGCACGCCCAATTTGCACCTGTCACCGTGCACTCACACCCTCTGAGCACTCTGGCCCCTCCTTGGCCCACTCCCTGCACCCACAGGGGCCAACTGGGAGAACCGAGTCTGTGGCTTGATTCCCTGGCAAATGCTGGTCACCAACGGCTGTTTCCCAATTGGAGGTGCGATTTGCAGAATGAAGAGGTGAAGGGAAAATGAATGAACCCTTTCTCAGCCAGCCTGTGGGATGGTAAATTCCCACTGTGGGTTGTGGTCAATTTTGCAACAGTTTCTGGAAATGGCACTACCAGCTACTGTCCGTAACACCTACCTAGCCCTATGCAGTGGACAAATGGCCATGGGGCTGGTGCCCTCTGTGGGCCAGCTGGGTTCAGAGAGCGTCCAGCCCTGCCTGCGCCCAAGCTTTGACACCAGACACAGGGCTATGCCTTGGACAGGAACCCCTCTTGTTGCTCTCTGGCTGACTTCACCCCTGGCACTTCATGAACAGCGGGGTTTTTTTGGAAAGAAGGAAAGCATGTACCTAGGCAGGAAGGATAAAGAATAAAGCTTACTTACCTTTGCTCTCTCCCCAGCCCTAAGCCAGGGCCCACATCCAGTAAATATTTATTGAATTAAATCACCTCACAAATTATCCCAGATTTCCAGAGGCCAAATGTTCATTTTGCGGATGAGGGCAGGGGACCTGGAGAGTGGACACCCTCAGTCTGAGCTCTAAGAAGGGTGGACGCACTGGGTGCTCATCAGAATCAGCTGGGGAGTTTGACAGCTTCCTGAAGCTCTCAGGCTGCATGCCTGCCCGACTGAATCAGGGCCTGGGCACAGGTTTAAAGCTCTGCAGGTGATCCCAGTGAGCTGGCTGGTGAGCCCTGGCCTCAGAGGGAGAGAGAGGCAGAGGCTCTGGAGGAGGACCATGCCAGAGAGCCCTGTCCATGCACCTGCTTGCTCCCACAGCAGGGTGTCTGTGCGGTCTTGGAAGGGTGGCTTCCAGAGAGTTTGCAGATGAGCATCTTTGGGGAGACCCACCAGTGGGAGAATGCATTCATCTGGTGCGCACTGGCCCTGCTGAGGAGCTGGCACTTGGGCTGGAAGGCCCAGGGCAGGCTGAGGGGCAGCAGCTGGCTCTGAGAGGGCCCCTGAGCCTTGACTTCAAGCAAGAGATGTGCTCAGAGTCCTGCTATATGAGCGAGCTGGGACTGGCTGGGACCCCTGCCCTCCACATCCACGTTTCCTCTTGAGACTCAGGTGAGGGAACTGAGACATGCATGGACTTGAAAGTCTCTCAAGGCTGACTACCTGGCAGCAATTTTTTTTTACTATTTTGATATTCAAAGTGCACACAAATGAGCCCAGAATGAGGCATGCTTGTGTAGCCATCATGAGATTACCCCATCCACTCAGGGCTCTGCCCATCCATCCCCACTCTTTCCCAGGGCCAGAGAGCATACTGTTTCATCCATCCTAAGGGCATAAACTTTTTCAAATAGGAATCACACCACTTTCAGCCTAAAAAAGGCAATTCTATCCCGTCAGTGTAACTGGCTGTCTCATGACTTATATTTACAATTTACTCAAATAAGGACCCAAACAAGATTCACACATTGCACTGGATTAATGTGACTCAAGTCATTTTTTTAGTCTATAGTTTCATCACTTATGAGCTGGAATACTTCTATAGAGAGAAACTTTCTTAACTGTGTTCATATAGGAAAGGAAGGTTAAATGGGAAATTCTTTTCCTTTAGGTACCAGTTTTCAGAATAATGGATCGGTTGCCCAGCATCCTCCATGTATATTTATTTATTTATTTTGAGTATCATTAACTCTTGGCTTTTACCATACTTGACACACTTCTGTTTCAGTTGTTATTCTTATTAATGCTCAAATTATCCCTCTTTGGCCAATGGGAGCTTCTTTAAGTTGGCCCTTGAGTCTTTTTGACCTGAACTCAATGGTCTTTGAAAGTTTCCTTGCTTTCTGATGTCTCAAGATGTCCAGGCTCACCTTCCATCTGTCCTGCCACAGACCTGGAATGGGCCACTTGTCCAAGGACCTCTGGTTCCTTTTAGTGGAAAGTGGTTTTCTATTAATCTGGGTACTAAGATGCTCATTGCTACTGGTTCACCATTATTCCTAGCATTTTCAGTGGCAGAATTAGTATGTAGCTCTCTTCTTTTTTTTTTTAAGACCAAATACATCATAAATTCATACTGATTATTTTCAGTTCAAATTTAGGATTATGGGGATTTTCATTAACTTCTAAAATTTTATATTTATCTTTTACCTTGAAAAATCTTGGTTCCTAGCAATGTTATCATAATTAATTATATGGTTTATCTTAAAGTAAGTACAATAATTTCAGAAAACAAATTCCTCTCATTACTAACAATATGACAGAAACAACTCAAGATTTTTTGGTGGTTCTCTTTGTCTACAGGAATTTAAACTATTAAGGATATACATTATGATTACCCAAAGTCATTCCTCTGTGTATTTAATTCAAACAGACTTGATATGTTAGGTTTATTTGCTTCATTTTCATTTTTTTTTAGAAATTGCTGTTTTTCATTTAATTTTGTAATTATGTAAAACATTAACTTGGTTCCAGCATGAAGCAGACAAAATAAGACACATTCAGAGAAGTCTAGTTTCTATCCTAGTCCCGTCCATCATGTTCCTTCACTGCCTCTGTACATAGCCATTTTTTTTACTTTCATGCATTTGTATTTTTCAATTATGTTTAATTCATTTTTAAAATAAGCATGCATGTGTATGTCTACATGGTCTTGCCCTCTTCGATAAAAGGTAGCATAACTATTGTTCTCCACCTTCCTTTTTTCACTTAACATAATATTCTGGAGAAAAGTCCTATATTAGTGTATGTGGATGTTCATCACATCTCTGCACAACTGCACAGGACCCAATCATACACTCACGGAGCATTCACTCATTCTCTGCCATGGACATTTAGGTTGTTTCCAGTATTTTTTAATTACAAATAGAATGCACAAGTGCAGAGTTTTGTGTATGCATCTTATAATTTTTTTGGCCAGTGTAATTTCGGAATAGATTTCTCAAGGGATTGTGGGACAAAGGTAAATGCTTAACAGTTATGCTAGATGTTGGCACTAGGCAAAGCTGGATGGAGGTGAGATCGGTTGGACAAGCCTTCTTGAGGATGTACATTTTAGGCTAAGTTTCTCCTTTTAAGAGTTTAAATATTAATGTATTTTGGTAAATTGTATCATCAATCAAAAATGATTTAATTTTTTTCAAAAATATCTATTTTCCAAAGGTGGGTGAGTTTGCATCTGATTTTGTTATTTTAAATTTGTAAATTTCTCCACCCAAGCTTTAGTTTAGAACAGGCTCCTTTCTGAATGATGCCTAAGGAATTGCTGTTAAGATTTTATTGTGTAAAAAGATTGGATAAGGTGCTGAGCTAAACACTATTCAGGGTAAGAGAAATATGAGACATCCTTATTTTGGCTTTCCAGAAGGAAATAATCCACGAGGTGGTAAGGATAGGAAATAATTGTAATGGAAGATAGTAGGTAACACAGTCAGGTGAGAAGTGCAGAGAAATTATCACCACAGGAGAGCATTTCAGGCCAGATTGATCAGGAAAAGCTTCAGAGAAAAAGTCGGCATTTGACTTGACTTGGGATGGTGAGGAAGCCCCTTTCTCATGTGAGGGATCCGTGCAAAGGCGGGAAAGGGCAGGCAGCCAGTTATGCTGATATGAGAAGGTTCACACCAGGGGAGGAAGGCGGCCAGGTTGGACTGTGGGACAGTCAGCAGGAAGCCCCTGCGGGTCATGAGAGAGGGGGCTCCTGTGACTAAACTAGAGTTGAGGTGAAACCAGTGGGGTTCACTGTGCTGACATTGGAGCGGGGACTCGGAGCAGCGGGGGCTGACCTTGCCAGATCTGACGGAGGAAGTGCTGCCCTGAGGAGGAAGGCACGCGGGTGTGTGTGTTTGCCAAGCACCTTCTGATACATTGGTCAGGCTTTGGCCCAGGACCTGCTTTCATAGTTACTATGCTCTCCGAGAGTGATGGGGGGGCAGGGCAGATGCTGATATTTACCATAAGAAGCCCAACACGTAGAATGACCAGACTGCCCTGGGGGCTGAACTGGGATGGAGGAAAGTCAAGTTCTGATGACATCCACTGAGCCCTGAATTCATCTTGGCCCCTGGATTTTTTCAATTATGGAGGCAGTAATTGAATGGAGGCAGTAACCTGTTTGCTCAGGTTTTTTTAAACATCTATGAAAGAAAGTCTTAACCGATCAGCTCTTCCTTCATACTACATGTTATAAGGCTGTGTGAGTGTGGGAAAACCAAGTAGCAGCCAGTTATTCCTACAAAAACAGAAACATAACAGATGAACTATTTAATACACTCCACTTTATTCTGGGATGTATATTCCAGATCACACAACTCACAAACATACCAGTGTACTTGGAAAACGAAGGCCATTCTGTGAGTCATTTTTAAAACTGGGTGTTTGCACATAATGATCTTTTAAAAATAAATTACCAACACCAAGATTCCCTTCTGAAATAAAAATCTGATCTAATCGGAAGCTCAGCAGGTGACCATTTCTGTTCCTACAGCATAAACAGCAGCTCTAAGGCAGCCATGCCTCAGCACCAAGCTCTTTCACGATGTCATCAAGAAGTGGTGGGTACCCCAGTGACCAGTGTTTATAAACCAGTTTTCTCCCAGTGAATAGCAAACGGAGACTTTTACCTAAGAAAAACAATGCAGAATCCTGGGAACAGGAAAAGAAAGGGACCTCTGTAACTAAGGCACTGAAAGCACATTGTTAATATAAAGAAATGTAAACAATTGAATGCCAACAGGCTCCCTCCATCAGAGCCTCTATTATAAAAGGTCAGAGGGCATCGTGGTCAGGGCCAGAGCTTGAAGTCCCAATAAAATGGGGATGTGTCCCTTTCTGCAGAATTCAGTCTTGGCTACCAATATCCAACTTCTGTCACAGTTCTGTGGAGGCAACTAGTTTCAAAGTGACTCACATGGAAGCTGGTATTCCTCCCTAATCTTTGTTTCAGTCATATTAACAAACAAGGGAGGATTTTACTAGGAGTTTTAAGTTATCGGCTTTAGCATTTGTTTTTCTTTTAGTCTTTACCATGTTCTCCTGATATTCACAATTCCTTCGGCTGCTTTCCTCAGAGACGTCAGAGACGTCTGGTAGAGGAGCTCATGACCTAGTTCATGCCCTTCCTTGTAGGTTCCTATTCCAAGTATATATGTCATGGTTCATGTCCCCTGTCAACCACACAGGCTTTATTTAAAACTGTTTCTAAATGGTAAAGATTTAACAACTGGACATACATTTAACATTTCAAAGTCCGTTGCATTTACCTTCAAAGGATGGAAAGGGCCTGAAGTAGGAAGTGGGTGTCTGGGTGTGAAGCAAGGTAATCAGCTGCTCTGAGTGGCCAAGGGTGGAGGGGACCATCCTGAAGCCGGTCACAGTACTGAGGCTAGATTAATTTCTATTTGACACTTTGGTATCAGTTTTGGGTAGCTCTAAGTTCCAAATCATTAACTGTCCATTTCTACGGTTTTTTTAAATAAGAGAAGAAAAAGACAAATGTGTAGGAAAACACAAATAAAAGTAGCCTTATTGCAAAAAGAAAACAAACAAACAAAAAAAACCCCACAACTTTTTTCCTTCTGAAGTCATCATTTCTTAAAACAAATTACAATGTCTATATGTCTCAGTATTATGCTTATGAATTTGGGGTGGGTTAAAAAAAGTTTGCATTTTATTTTAAAGATGTTTCTTATGATCAAAAGAAAAAATATTTTTTTAAAAAAAGAAAAAAGATGTCCCCTTTCACAGGTTTCAGAGTGTTAAAGAAGGCATGCCATTAAATGGAAGTTTCACCTTGAACAGAGGTGAGAAGTTGGAGGAAAGGAGATCAGCTACATTATAAGCACTTGGGGGCGAGAAACATAGCTTTTCTCTTTTACCCCAGGACAGTTGCAATCTTGCTTGTTACACTGTTTCTGTGTTTCGTGTTTCCAAATATAATGAAAGAAATCTATGAGAAACCTATATTAGAACCCTCTTTTATTAAGAAAAAAGGCTTAAAAGAAAAAAAACTCCCGAAAACAAAAAGTAAAAGACCATGAAATTAAACAGTTGGGTTTGGAGCAGATGTGCATAACAATGAATTAGTAGCTCCCTGTAAGGTTATAAACAGCCTTGAGGGAGCAGTTAATATAGGCTGGGGAGCAGAAGCCCTAGTTAGGAGTCTACTAATTAAAGCGATGTGTCAGCAGTGTTCCGCCAGCGACCAGTACTTTCCCAAACAATCTGCTTGGTAATTTTGGCTCCCCATGCACTTACCTTTAATGGCAAAGCACGGTTCAGCTGGAGGGTAAGAGTCACTGACCAGCAAAACTTGAGATGTAGGTATGGAGAGGCATTTATGCCAAAATAGTTCAGAAACCAGAAGCCAGCCTGTGAGGCTGCTTCAAAGTAAGAGTAAAGCTGACAGGTTTGCTAACAGCTAAAAACTTTTAATTGCCTCCTATTTTCTGCTGTGACCAGCATTCCCATTATATGACCAAAAAAAACCCAGCGCGCAGCTCCAGCAGAGTGGGAATGTGACCACGTGCTGCTTGGCCTCACAAGATGTGCTGTTGGTTGGCTGGATCTTCCATTAACTCCAAATATTGGGACTATTTAGGCTAACAACTGGTCAAAGTGGGTTTAAATTTTACTACTCTAAGAGGAAGCCTGGGATTAAAAAAGAGAGGGTTCCCTTGCTGTCATTAGAAAGGGTTCATTTTTGTGTTATTGTGGCTGTAAGAACAAAATTTGTCAAGGCTACAAGGATTGAACAACACAGCATAAACTGTTAATGCCCTGTCTGTGAGCACTGGTGTGTTTTACTGGCAGGAGTCAGATACCGCTGCACAGGTAGAAATATAATAACCTTCCCTTTTTTGGCAGGTTTTAAAAAACATTTTAAAAGACACAACTTCAAAAGAGTTTCTGAATGTACCAACTGAACATTCTACACTTTTCTTGCAAAAAGTAAGTGACTTGATATTTACCCTTTTTAATGCAGAAAAGGCTAGACTTGCCAAGAAGTTGTAAGGAAACCAGCACTAAGACAAGGTAGAAGTTTAAAACTAAACTGTGTTAGCTCTTACCTTAAAAATTCAAACTAAGGTTTCTAAGTGGAGGGTCTGCGGTTGCTCCCTGAGACAAGTCCAGGTCTTATTTTCCACGTGGAAGAAGGGCACAGGTGGTCTTCTGACATCTAGGTCAGCGCGAGGCTAAATGTCAAGATTTTGTGAGTAACAAAGGGCTTCCTATCAAAATGTGTGGTCAGTTTAAGGACAAGGGATTTGCACATTCTGGTCTCATGGGAGGATGCAATGATTTGATTGGCATGGAATAAGTGCAGGACAGTGCCCCAGGAGGGAGGCAGGATGAAGGGCCCTTGCCCACAGTCAAGCGCCAGCACCTGATCTGGGCCAGCGCTCATGGAGCCCCAGATCTGCATCTTGCCTGGGGTTTGTTAGGAAACAGGACTGGATGTTTAGGAAAATTTCGTGTACCTTGTCTGTTAACAGCCTGATGATTGTTGAAGAATACTCTGACTGGAATTATTTCATAGCGATTGCTCCCTGCTATGCATATTTACATTCAGAGATTTTTTTAAAAGTCAAGTGTGTTGCATTATTTTTCCACAAAACTTGGTGCAAAATATCTTTAACAAATAATGATGGTAGTAAGAAATATTTGACATAGTCATGCAAAAATGCATCTTGGTTTTACAAAGGCTTACTAGCACATTTCCAAAATAACCCCTAGGTTTTTACACTGTAAACCTTACAATCTCACTCATTTTTCTTTGCATTTAAATGTGGCCGTTTATGTAAAAAATGGTAACATGCAAGTTCGATGATCTCCAGTCCACCAAATATTCTCTCTTGCAGCACAAAGATGACAATGGTGATTATAAAATACCATCGAACAAGGCTGTACAAATATATGAGCAGGCACATCGCAGGGCTGAACAGGGTCCAGTACAGTATAGAGAGAAATTTGACCACAAGGACTCTGAGCTCAGACTTGCAAGGTGGGATTACAGTCTGCCCGGTAAAGTAAAAATTCTTCTCCCCTTGGTAGAAGGAGCGCAGCCTCTCTTCCTTCTCCTCCCACCGCCTGTGGCACCAGAGCTGCAGGTCCTCCTTGGAGGTGGGGAGGGTGCCCACCGGGTACCGGTGGACGTGGAAGTGGATCTCTTCGGGAAAGTCCCCGTGCAGGAGGTGCCGCTCTGTCTGAGGAATGTTGTGGGGATATGCCACTGTGATGTCATGCACAGCATCAAGGTTCTCACCTAGGTTTTGGAAAAGACAGAAATAGATTGAGCAGTGATCAGTCTGGGCAGCGATGCCGAGTCACACCGCAAGGCAGAACCCAAACAGGAAAAACCCAGGGCCTCGTGAACCATGATGATCAAACAAGGGCTATAAATACTGGCGTCCCTGGCCACTTGGCTCAGTATTTACCAGTTATTTTTAGTTTTTTTCCTCCTTGCTAATTACCACAAAGACCTTTAGAAAGAAATTATCTTAATTCACGGAAACAGTAACCTGCCATTCTAGAACTAAAGGGGTAAGCGCACTGTCAGTTGAGGCAGGAATGGAAGGGCACAGGACTAGCCCTTTTACACCAAAGGGGTTCACTGCTTTGATACCCCCTATAATACATCTTTCTCTCCAAATAAAAACACAAAGTTTATTACCTTGAATCCAGTATTATCATGACAGCTATCAGAAAGAGCTCAGAATCTTACTTGATAAATGGGTCAGAAACACATGGAAACCTCCCTATATTTTATTTTAAAAAACATACCAACTTAAAAGTCCAAGCAAGACCCTGACCCAGTATACCACCTGAATATTAATTACTTTGGGGCTAAATGTTTTCAGCAAAGTCATATGGCAGATGCTGGAGACTGATAAAATAAACATAGTCCCTAACCTCACTCAAGAGTCTGAGGGAGAATCAGGGAGACGGGCTTGCACGTGCTCCAAACAAACCAGCTGGGCCTATGGAAGGGCAGATGGAGGAGGGGAGGGCACTGGCGGAGGGGACATCCAGCAGGGAGCACAGTGGGGCTGTGGGCATTAAAAGTAGGCTGGAGCCATCTGGTAAACGCCCTCACTGGCAAACTTGAGAATCTGAACTTAAATTTTGTCAGTGGTAGAGAAGCATCTTTAGTGGCGGAGAACCACGTAAGGATTTTAAACAGAAGGGACAGTGACAAGAATGGTTTGGAGAAGACCAGGGACAAGGGGGAGAGGAAGAGTGTTCACCTCTTGTTGCTTGTCGTGCCACTTAGGCTCTGATTCAGAACTGAGCTCACATTTCCTTTACTTTCAAAGTGCCTCTGCAGTCAGTATTTCTGCTTCCACTTTCTGCCCAGAGCCTTCTCCTCCGCCAGGGTCACTGGCCTCATCAGCCTCACTTGTCCATGGCCTTGGACAGTCTCCCTTCCCGGGCAGCTCCCACTGTCCTCCTGCTCAGTCATCTTACACCACTTCCTACAGCCTTTGAGAGTTGCTTGTGTATCCCAGCCTTTCTTCTTCAGGTAATTCTTAACGTTTATTGAACAAATACAGTTATGTACTAGTTACAGATTGGTATCAAAATGGTATATGCTACACTAGTAAGCAACTCAACTGCCCCTTGCTTTCTCCTTGACAATCTGCCGAGAAGGGTGCGTGCATGTGAATGGGCACAAACGTGTCTCCTCAGTAGATATACAGATGGCAAGTCTTGAGACAGTGATGGTACCACTTACAGAAGTGTTCCTAAGTGAACCTAGATTTACTGCAGTGGAAAGCATGGAGGGCTGTGGAAACAGGCTGCCTGGGTCTAAATCCTAGCTCTACCATTTACTGAGTGAATGACTTGATCAGTTTGTGGCTTGTTTAGTTCCTGTATCTATAAACCACGTCACAGTGTTGTCGTGAAGATTGAGTGAGGTAATAAATGTGAAAAACACATACAATAGGATCTGATATATGATAAGTACCCAATAACTATTAGCTGCTGTTATTATTATTATTGAATCCCAATGTTAGCATATTAGGTTCTACCTGTCTAACTTTAGTTTCTTAGTCCACAGATGCCAGCATGGTGTTTATGGTGGTGGGGTGGAAGTGCATTTAAATACCTTCTCTATACAACAGTCTAGAGCATTGTTTGCCTAGGGCCCAAAGATTTCAACTTGAGACCTTGTCTTCTAGTCAAGACAGATGTTCAAACTATTTCACTAAATTTCCAAGAATGTTTCTTCTGCCTCAAATATATACTCTTTTTACCTGAAATATTTGATCTCAGCTCTCTTCAAAGACAGCTCGTCTCAAGGGCTCTAAGAAGACTGCTCTTGAAGTATCCAGGCCCAGAGTGGTCTTGCCTTGGGGAAGGCAGAATGCACATGTGCTGGTGCGCTCATCAGGCACTCATCCGCAGCCCTGGGCTACGGGGCTGGGGGCTCGCTGGAACTCCCAGGGAGCCAGAAGTATTTAGGACAAGGACCATGTCTTTGCCTCTTGAGAACTTAAGTACCTGGCACAATGCTGTACATTTATAGAGGTTGCAGAAATGCTTATTTTATCAATACCCTTACGGCCTATTATCTTATCTATAAATACAGGAGGAATTATAATGCCCTCTACCTGAGGCTATTGATAACACTTCAGTGAACTAATGTTTGTTAAGCTCTTTGCATAGTGTTGGACACATAGAAAGTTCTTAGATGTTAGCATCTACTACACCTTCTATATTCAGTTCATGAGACTGACTTGCTCCACTACATTTTTTTGAACTTGCTTTTTGGAATTTAGAACTTTGTAGCAATGAAACTCAATTAAAATACTATCCATATTCTATACAAGAACAACACTGGAATGTTAGAAATGAAAAAGACAAAGTGAAAAAGGGAGAAGTAAGGAGTGGGGGAAGAAAGATACCTTATGCCATGTTTCTTATTTTCCTGAGCTGCACTGGGTCCTTAGCATCAACAGACTCAGAAATGCATTAATGCCAGAGCAAGAGAGGAGGAAATGGAGAGAGGCTTTCACACCGGGAGGTTATCTTGATAAAATTTTATATTAAATTTGTCTCCAGAAAACCCAAAGCCACATACAATTCTTTACTAGCAACAGGAGAGCTTTAATTCATATCCTACCAAGACCCCTGGTTCCGTGGCCTCTAGCCCAGGGGAGCCCTTCCCACCAGAGAAGTGAGCCCCTTCGGAAGGCACCAGGGAGTCAGCACGGCGTGCAGGGCCTGGTTCTTGTGTGAGTGACACTAACGAACGGGCTATTCAAAAGGGGAGATCTGCCTCTGTTTCACTTACCAATTTATAATAGGGCTAAAACAATGCAATTGCAGATTAAGAAAAGAGAAGTTCCTGCAGTTACAAAGGATTTATATTGTCTTTTTGGTATGAAAACCAATATACTTCTAAATCTGCAAACTAAGATGGCTGCTGCCAGTACAACCCATTAAAAAACAAACAAACAATGCTTTTTAGATAGTTTAAGTTTCAAATCTAGATGCTACCTAGCCACTTGTCATCTGCCAATATGGGATTAGAAGATAGATCTGTTTCTGATACTGTGCCTACTGGGAAGTTTCATACTTAACCGTTATTTTGTAAAGCTACCACTCTGTTAGAAGGACCATACTCATTTGGGCCCAAAGATCATTCTTTTTTCCCTGAAAGAACAGAACAAGGACTTAATATTTCAACTCTTAATTTTTAAACATTATGACTGGAATTTACAAATGTAATAAGCAGAAGGGAATATCTCCAAGCATATCAAGTTGAGGCCATGATCGTCAGAAGATGCCTGCTTGATATGGAAAACTCACAGGGGAGAAAGCCAACTCTTTACACATTTGTGTGTTTAGGATGAAAGAACTGAGTGAAGAAATCCTGGTTTGCTGGTGATCATATCCAGTTATAATTGGATAACAGTTCAATGGCAGAGTAACAAATAGAAGCTGCTTTTGTTTCTTTTTAACCCAAAGTCATCTTTAGAACAGTTGATAGCAAATGAAATTTTTCTTTTCTTCCTCCATTCCACAATCAAATGTATGCAAAATATACAAAAATTTTAATTTTTAATGAAATACCTGCTTTTAAAAAAAACCACATACACACAAAAGCCTGTGTTCTTAACTACATATATTAAACAGTTTTAGGTAAAGTAGCTTGTTATCTAACATGCCTTTGTGTTAAAGGAAAATGCTGAGGTTGCTGGTTTTGTGCACTATTTTTCAGATTAAAAAAAATTTAGCCCAAGAGATAAGAGTTGGATTTAGTAACTACACAGTCATTGCTTGCCCCTCTTAAGTCACTGACACAGAATAGCACATGACTAATGAGTTTGACAAACTGGCACTGGTCAGTACACTTTAAGGAATAGTTTTGAATGGACATCTCGTTATAGACTACACACACCAATAAATAAGACTCCTTTCAGCTTCAAAACAAAAGGGCGGGCATGAACCATTTAAAATCAAATGATACTAAGCCTCAAACAGTACCATTTTATTTATTAGAAAAATGTTTCCTAGTGGGAACATTATTCATTTTTCCTTCTGCGCAAGTTGGGTACTTAAGAGTCAGACAGCACCTGGTCCTCTCAGCAATGTGAGCAATAGCATGTTCACTGTAAGCCTCATCTGCAAATGCAGATAGTAACAAGTACCTACCCTCAGGGGGTTGTGTACAGGTCAACTGGGATGTGACCTGCAGAGGATGGGGAAGTGCCTGGCATCTGGGGCCTGCTCAGATTCCTGCCCCTGTTATCCTCTAGGTGGGACGGTCATTTACACTACTTGAAGAGAGTTTAGGTTTAGGTGGCTACCCTTGGCCTTCATTCTTTCTCTAGATTCCCTCTTCCTTGGGGAGAGCTCTAGACTCTGCTGGAGTGCACACTGTTCTCCATTAGAAGAGGAAGGCATTTGGGGACTGATTTTGGCTCTAGGGGTAGGCCCTAATTTAAGCCCTGACACATATACCTCTCCATCCCTATTGACTCATTTCTTAGACATTTTAAGCTAAGCATAGATATTAAATCCTCCAATGGCATTCAGAATTAGAAGTTGAAGATCTAGGTTCTAGGATCACTGGCCTCCTGCCCATCTTGTTTTTCTTATAGGTCAAGGTTAGTACCTACTCTTTAAGAATGAATCCAGCCTGGGCTTAAAACTCAACCTTCGGCTAGAAAGGTGAAACTAAAAGTGGAATTCTTGTGAACAATCTTGCTTACCCAACCTGAATTTGGTTCTTACAGATAATTTCAGGGACATATA